CTCCTCCTCTTCTCATTTTGTTGGCGCGATACTTTTAACGACACTCCCGCACTCGCGAGCGATATTTTTATATCGTTATTTTCGTTATTTTACGCGCGATACTGAACGGCACTCCTGCACTATTTCGATGCGATTAAAAATCTTATATTTGATCGCGCGATGTATATACCTTAGCGGTACTCCCTAATATGTATATACTTAACGCGACGCGTTGACGAAGCGCTTGCCCTCCGCGACACGTTGACGGCACCGATGACGCAAAAGGGTACTTAGCTTCTCATTTAGGCACCTTAAGATTTATCATAAATTGAAAAAATTGAGATAAACATCAAGGCACCGTCCAAGTACTAAGCCCTCCCACCGCGACAAGGTGTACCCCATGGGAGGGTTATATTATATTATATATAATTTTATATATAATATAATATATAATTAATTTTGTAATATACTAGATAAATTTTAATTCGCAAATATAAACGATAAATAAAAATATGAAAGATAAGAGAAAATCTATTATATAAAGCAATGTTCAAAATAATTGTTAGAGAAAGAATTTGATAATACATGGAATGTTTCTACCTCACTGCTCGAAGGCCACTGAGGGAATGATCGTAAGTCAAAAACATTATCGCGATACTGTTTATATAGCCAAGGTTGACTAGAGAGAGAATTTGATAATACATGAAACTGCTTTATTGTTCAATGTTATTGTGCGAATGATCGTAAGTCATAAAACGTCGTTGAAATATTCTACGAGTAATTGCCGATTAAGAAAATTTAAAGCATTGGTCGAAATTTATTTAATTTTAATAAGTTAGAGAAATTATTATAATAAGTATTAATAATCGAAAGATCGTAATAAAATTAATTTCTTTATCCCCTTTTATGTTCCCTTTTTCAATTTTTATTCGCAGTAATTAATGAATGCGATTCGAAAGGATTTATCGTTACGATACAATTTCATGTCCTTTATCATAAGTTAATTAATTTATAATTATTAATAATTATATCAAATTATGTTTTGATACTAATTTAAACCGTATTTAGAAAAAATATTTGATAATATGCAAAGCGTTTCGAACCATTACTTTATTGCTCGAGTGTCACCATGCGAATGATAACGATGCCGTGACATATAAACAAAATTGCGCTATTGTTTATATCATCAAAGTCGAACATCGTGTTACTGATAATTCATTGTCAAAATATTTTACATGTTATAACATATGCGTATATTTGAAAATGTTAAATTGTAGAAGTTTTCGAATTTATAGATTAATTAAACGATTATTTATTTTTTAATTAATTAACATACGAAGCATTTCGCATCACTATTTTAGCTATTTTCTTTAGAGAATATAAAACTGCGCCACAAAATATCGCAAAATATCGCAATATAAATAAACTTAAATTACCCCTAGATACAGAATAATAATTTGTGTTTCAAGATATCGCGAAATATCGCATTGTAATTAAACCTATATCCGTAGATAATTAATATTACTGCACCCACAAATATCGCAAAATATCGCAATATAAATAATCCTAAACTACAAAATAATAGTCTGCGCTCCCAGATATCGCAAAATATTGCGATATAAATAAACCTAAACTACCCCTAGATATTTAATATTATACTGCGCCCTCAAATATGGTAAAGTATCGCAATATAAATAACCCTAAACTACCCCTAAATACAGAATAATAGTTTGCGTCTCTAGATATCGTAAAATATCGCAAAATATCGCAATATAAATAAACCTAAATTACCCCTAGATACAGAATAATACTCTGCGCCCCAAGATATCGCAAAATATCGTAAAATATAGCATTATAATTAAATTTATACTATCCGTAGATAATTAATATTACACTGCGCCCATAAATATCGCAAAATATTTCAAAATATCGCAATATAAATAAATCTAAACTACCCCTAGAGAATAGAGAATATTTTTTTACGGTCACAGATCGAGGAAAATTTCTAAAGTTTACTACTCGAATGTCATCGAGCAAATGATAGCAATACCATATACATACAAACAATAGCACGCTATTGTTTACGTCGTTAAAGTTGAACATAATATTGTTGATAATTCGTTCCCGAAATATTTTATATACTATAAAGTATACACGAGCGGAATATTAAATTATTAAATTATAGAAATATTTTAATTTATTGATTAAAATTGATTAATTATTAAATAATTTATCATGGACCTTTATGCACAAAATATCTAAATAATATATTATTGTGAAGCTGTTTATAAAATATTACTATATAAAAGTATTAATTAATACTAGAACATTTTATAGATATTTTAAGTATATTGAAATAAAATCCAGAATATTTTATATATTACACTAATATATTTTAAAAATTTAAATAATTTAGGTAATTTAGAATGGGAGAGAGAGAGAGAGAGAGAGATTCGTAATATTAATTTATGAAATGAATTATTGAATAAATAAAATAAATAATTGCAGACCTTAGATAATATCACATAAACAGAACCATTGAAACTGAAATTAAAATAAGCGATTTCGGTATTACAGAACGTTTTAAAGTAATTATTGATGCTTATTGACGACAACTGTGTTTCATAAAATGTTTCGTCATCTATTGATTACAATCGTAGTTAAAGAATTAACTGTTCATTTATTTTAATGCCCTGTTGCAAAATTACAGCGAAAATTAAATCAAACTTTAGATCTTATCTCGAAAATATTATATTTCTAATAAGTAAAATTGAAAAGATAATTTATTGAATCCAGTAGATATTATCAAGCTGACATAAATAAATTATTGAGAAATAAATTGTAAATAGATATTTATATTGGAATTTGTTCTTTACGATATTTCATTAAACATTCGACATGCATATTTTTATATCTTATATAAGATTTGCGCTTTAATGTATTAACTACTATTAACTATTTTGTAAATTCATAAATATTAATACACACAATTATAATTTTCTTTCAAGTCTTTTTTACATTATGTTTTGGAGCTTTTCCTTATTTCAAATTATACATATATATAAATTTTTGTACGTACTTATATTATTTCTAAAGAGAATAAGTTTTTAAAAATTTATAAATATTTAAATATATATATTACTGTGCATTAATTTAATGAAAACATTATATAAACACTTGTTTAAATTATTAAAAAGGTAATATGTTCGATGAAGGGAGCTCGTCTCCATTACCTTGATCTTGACATATGTTGTCATATATGTCAAAATCACTGCCCTGAGTAATCCAAAAAGTTTTAGACGTCGCTCGCTGTTCGTTAAAAAGTTATTAGTAAAAGAAGTTAGAAAGAGAATATAGATTTTATTGACACCGTTTAGATAAAACTATAGTATGAAAAAATTTATATAGAATTTAATACAATTTAATATAATTAAAAAATATCACAAATGTATGCGTACACACACACATTAGCGAAATTTTTTAATTGTATTAAATTCTATATAACTTTAAATTGTATTAAATGTATTTAAAATTATTATTTTTTTATATAACAGCTAAAATAGTAGGTTTATGAAAAAAATGCATATAACTTTTTTTGTAGAGTTTTTCAACAGTTTTATTTTCTGTTTAAATTTTTTTTCTCAATTCAATATTTTCGAAGATAAAAAGCATTAAAACTGTAAAATTCTTTTGTTAATAACTTTTTAATAAACAACGAGCGACAGCTAAAACCTTTTGGCTGTTACTCAGGGCAGTGACCTTGACAACATATGTCAAGATCAAAGTAATAGAGACGGGTTCCCTTCATTGACAAATTTACCATAACTTTTTGGTCAAACAATTTTTAAAGATTTTAATTCTTTTTGGAATAATACCAAGTATATCCGTAAAGAAAAATTAATTACAATGGAATGCAGCTAATAAGACGTCATAGTCATTCCCCACTCCAAGTGCATTCTAGCGGCCGAGAGTCGCGAAAAGCAGTACCGTCTATGCCGGCCTTGTGATGGTAGCAAAGAAGACACCGTTGCGTAAAAAAGATATATATATATATATATATATATATATATATATATATAAACATAGAATACATGTTTATTTAATATTATACATAATATATAAAATAATATAATAAAATTATATATATATATATATATATATATTATATAAAATATTATAAATATTATAAAAAATATTATAATAAATTATTATATTTTCTTTTTCAACGCGAGGGCCCTCTTTCCTACCATCACTAGACCGACAAAGACCGTACTGCTTATCGCGATGCTCCACCGCTAGCATGTATTTGGAGAGAGGAAAAAAGCATCAAGATCCGGTCACTGAGTCAAGGCAACACATGATCAAATTGATTATTCGGAGTCAGTTATGTGTCAGTATTGTGATTGTTAGCCAAAACACGCTACCGCGTTACTTATCATTTGATTCAAATTGCATTATATGAATATCGCAAAAAATTATGTACTAAGAGTGGATTTATATACCGATTTTTACTCACCAATAATGAATTCTGAAAAGTATACGTAATAACACAATTGTATGTAATAACACAATTGTACGAACGAATTGTCATAATAACATATTTAATAAAAGATATAGCAAAAATGAAGTGAATTCGATTACACGCTACGTGTGCTTGAATATGACTGAAAATGTTACAAGATCTATAATTCTAAAACTTCTTTGATCGTTTGTAATTTGATTGTGGTTATCTTTTTATTGACTGCTCTTCTACTGTAATATTAATGAAAAAGGAAAGATAATAATAATTATATTCCTATATTCGCGATACATTCCAATGAATATGTACCATTTTGCATGGTCATTTGTTCTTCTAAAAAAAGAAATAAAAATTATTTACTTATTAAGGATTCTCTAATTTAATCTTAAGATATATACTGTGAACGTGATGATAAAGGGAAATATAAAAACATAACTTTAGGAGATAATAACTTGCAATTCGTTAAAACTGAGTTTTAAGGAATTTATCGAAAATATATGTATAAATGTGAATTAATATCAATTCGTTTCACACATCGAAATTAGTAGAGTGAGAAAAACAATTAATTGAGTATTTAATGGAAACCGATTGAGTGCAAACGTTTATGAACGATGCAAATTATGTTTGGAACAATTTTATGTGTATTATTGAAAGGTTTAGTTCTGACAAAGCCTATCACATTTAGGACGACAGATTATACTACTTCAAACAGTTTCCAGAAAGAAAGTGTTTTTATGTGTCCCAATTTAAATTACACGCAGGTAAGAGATATTTTTCGCTTGATTAAGGAACAATTAAATGTTATTGCAGTGTTTTAGTAGTGTAACTAAAAATGAATGATAGTAAATTATATATTCTATCTATATAATAAGATAAGATAAAATAAAACAATTCAATATAAAAAAGTATGTACGATGTTGTAAAAAAAAGATGGATAAAGTTTTGAAATTTACAACATGTTTACAACATGGATGTTATATAGTATATTAAATTTAATTTAAACTTAATTTAAATTTAATTTTAACTAACTTAAATTTAAATTAACTTTAATTTAAATTTAATTTAATTTAAACGGTATTTAAAAATTTGACTATTATTTTCTCTTTCTCTCTCTCCCTCTCTCTCTCTCTTTCTCTCTCTCTCTCTCTCTCTCTCTCTATATATATATATATATATATATATATATATATACATATATCATTATTATTTCTAAAAATAACATATATTTTCTACTTCATTCTTTTAGCATTTCCATTTTATGTTTCGACTTTTGTATGATGATCATTTCTTTATATATCCCATTAATATAATTTCCAGTTAAAGAAAAACGAATGGCATTTCTTTATTTAATTTTATAATTTATATAATTTATCATTAAAAACACCAGAAACAACCGCTTCAGCGATATTCATTTAATTCTTTTCGTATGTTATACTTTATGAAGGATATTTCAATGTCCGAGAAAAGTGATCATCATATACTAAATTTCAAATCTGACCGGAGTCAGTCTGATAGTACTGTGAGAAATGAGCGAGAAGTCGATGAAGTTATACTTGCAAATATTTCTATCACTCCAGAATCTATCGGTAAGTTGCAAATAAAACATTAATAACAAAACTATGATAAAAAAGTGTAAATATAATTTAAATTCAAGAGAGAGTGGCAATCAAATCTAAAAATATCTTCCAGTATTGAAAATAATATAAATTCTAATTCTGCCCTAAAAAGAAACAGAAAAGCATAATATAAACATAACATTGTACATAAAAATTGTTATAAGTTAAGGTAAAATCAATTTTATTAATATTTAGTTACTCTGTTTTAAAGCAGTCGCAAATATTATACTTCTGACTTCTTAAGCTATAAGATTTTATCGAAAAATACTTGTCATCTTATTAGAAGTTATTTATTCGTTTTTGCCATAAATTAAGGATTACTTTCTAAATCTTAAATGACGCAAAAAATTCTTATATTGTTTTTTTAAAGGTCATTACTGTGCTAATTTCCATATTTGATAGTTTACATTTATTTTTTCTCTTTCCTTAAATTTCACATTAAATTGTTTTTTTCTGATTTACTGGGATAATCCACTTAATCTTATATATAATTATGTTAATATATTCTTAATATAACTTAAAATCATTAGAAAATAGTTTGAACAAGCCAACATCTCTCAGAGCATTCATACAATTCGACAGTCAATTCGCAGAAAAAGTAAACGACATTTTTGTGACATTGAGGTAAGGAATCTAAATTCTTAGTTTGTATATATTCTTTCATTTTTCTTTCTTTTTCTTAAATTCAACGACATAAATATATCAAAATGATTATTCTGTTATAATTTTGTTAAATATAAAATGGCTAAAATTTAATGTTTTTACAGATGGAACCAACCTGAATTTACCGATAAAATAATACTAGGATACCAAGTGCAGTGTTCTTTCTTCGAAGGCTTTAAAGAAACCTGCGATGAAACTATCGCAGCTACAAAATTGGAGCACACGGTGCACAATCTAATATCTAACACGACATATTATTTTCGAGTACGTGCATATACTAAAATTGTAAATAAAATTGTTGCTGGTCCTTACACGGATTTAATCAATGTGTCGACTACACATGAAAATCCAATACCTAAATTATTACTCACAACGGATCTAGATATGAAAATATTGGACGTGGATTTAAGAATTACTAATACCTTAATGTCAGGGTACGTATACTGATAAAAAAAATAGTTCCAATTATCATAAATTATTTTTAACTCTAACTATAAAATTAAAGTTATTATTATTGCACAAGTTTATTATTATCAACATTATAGCAGTAATAACTATAAAATTAGAAATCTCAAATATAATTTTTTACTATACAATTATAGTTCCTTTTTTTCAGATCAGTATTAGAATATAGCTCTTTTTTTTCCAGATCAGTAACCTATGCCGCCTATTCGATACAAGAACATAGAATTTATTGGCTAACAGAAAAAGACCTAATGACATTGAAGATTAATGAAAATAATATCACAAAAATTACCAGCTTTGATTATTATCTAAATGATCTTTGCATTGACTGGGTAGCAAGAAATCTATATTTCATGTATTATGATGAGTCAGCCTACTCTTATATTGTAAAGTTCGACTTAACAATGTGGGAAAATGGCATAATTAAATTTGATGAGATTTTCAAATCAAAAAATGATATTCCCTGTTTAAGTGTATCACCGTCTATGGGGTACGTTTACTACCATTCACCTGAAAAAATAATTTTTCATTAAAGATTTATGCATATTTGTAATTTTTCTATAATTTTACGTGGTTTTATAATTAAGATCATAAGTAAAAAAAATAATAAGTTATTATATAATTAGAAGAATTTCGAATTTTCACTACATATAAGTTTCTGTTTTTGTTAAAATAATCTTTTATAATGAGTAAAATAATTACATTATTATATTTTTTAGAATTTTATATCACGTATCACACAATTCGATGAATACAGAATATCGTATAATGAAGCATCATCTCGATGGAGAAATCGAGCAAATTGTTCAGATGAATGTATGCCTATTTGATTATATTATAGATCCTTTTCAAAATATGATAATTGATAACATGAATAATGAGGTGCCGTTAATTTACTGGTTAAGTGATGATTACATATTTGTGACAGACATTAACATTTCTATGTGCAATATGATTTTACACAATGAAAACATAAGTGATATATTCATTCGTTTCGAATCTATGACGATTGACAAAAGAAACATTTACATTTTAGCAAGTGATTTTTGGGATGAATTTTCTCTCTATGTTTTGAAAAAGAAATACGCAAGTCTCAAGAGCGTAAATGCAGCCGAATATGTTGAAAAGATAATAATAAGTTCAGATAATAATAGGTTTTATAAAATTGACGCTTTTGATAAATCTTTACAACCATATCCTCCAATCAAATGTCTGACACCTGAAAAAAAAGTTTATAATTTTAAGAATGTGTATGCAATAGCAAACAGCATCGTTGTGATTCTTCCGGAGCCGGTTGTAAAAAGTGGATGCAAAAAATATAATTTACCAACTACTATATATAATATCTCCATAAGCTGTATGAGAGCTGTACACAACAATCTCAACAAGTCGGAGAAATTCAATGTGCTACGATATGTGACGTTCGAGCGATATTACAAGATTCAGAACTTAACACCATTTACAGAATACAAGTTGAAGTTTACCTTAAGCAATTTTTACTTTGATCAATTATCAATAAATCCATTTGATTCAAATGTGATACCAATAAAAAATAATTCTGATAAGTTTGATGCACCAGAAAACATAAGTGTTCTAGCTTTGACGCCTACTATAGCAGTAGTTCATTGGATGCCACTCAAGAATGTGAACTGCGTGGCCGTGACCTACGAAGTGCGTTGGAAGTCAGTTACATTAGTGAACGGCACGCAACACAAGGGCAAACAATTTATCAATGTGCCGAAACGTACGGCAGACGGCAGATTTTTCACAAAGATTAACTTGTCGCTACCAGTACAAGATTACTTGATATACGTGCGTGTATATCCAAATAATTTCAGCGATTTCTACAACGAGAGTTTAAGCGATTTCTACAACGAGAGTTTAAGCAATTTTGTTCACATATACTCAGAACCAAACAATATTACTTTGAGCGAGGTCAACATAAATAGCATGAACATTTCATGGATCTCAAACATTAATCTGACGATGTTTTGTACACTAGAGTATAAAGATATTGTAGCAGAAAAGTGGCAAACAATGAATTATATTAAAATGAATTATAACAAAGAAGTAACATACCATGTCGAAAATTTACAATCGGGAACCTTATACATGTTTCGCTTGATATTAAGATATCCCGAATATGAGGAAAATTTTACATGGCCGACTGATGAAAGATTTATTTTTTCAACACTTGGTAAGTAAACGAAGATGCCCATACAGTACAATAAGATTGCATGGATATATTGAAAAATAATTTTATTGAAATGTTGCAATATTACAAATCGATTGTGATATTCTGCTGAGTTATTGTTATAAGATTGTAATGAAGTTAAGATGCCCGCTTCTTGCAATGAAATATTGTAGCAATATTAAAGTGTAATATATTGGAAAGAATGCAATATTATTGCAACCATATTTTTTGATGCAACCATAGTTTTTGAGGATGAATATCTTGAAAATTAAATTAAATTAAATTAAAAAGCTTTATATAAAAGCTTTATATAAATAGAGGTTTGCAATATCTAAGATAATCATATCTAAGATAATATATTGCAAAATTATATTTAAACATAATCATATAACATAAAATGTTATATTTTTATACAAAATTACTTTAAACTCTTACTTACGAATCACTTTTTTTATTTTAAATGTTCTACATACTCCTATAATGGGTACTTTATACACACACACACTCATATACACACACACACACACATATATATATATATATATATATATATATATATATGAGTGTGTGTGATGATATATATATATATATATATATATATATATATTAATTATAGAATTAACTATACATTACTAATTATATATTTATTTAAAAATTTTAAAAATCCGTTATAATTATATTTATTTACATGTGAAAAATACATAAAAATGCATAGAAAATTATAATGATATAATAGATAGATATAATAGTATCTATTCTTAATATAATAAAAAGATATATTATCTTTTAAGATTAATATCGTAATCGTAAATAAAGTGAAAATATATTTGTAATATTGCAATATTGTTGCAAAGTAGTTGTAACATTCTGTGCTGCATAGATATTATTGCATAGATATTATTTCTAATTTTTTATTCTCATTAGTTTTTAATTCTAATTAATTCTAATTTTGTTAGATATGAATAGGCCTAAAATTTAAAAAATTTTATTTTATATTAAAGTTATAAATAAAAATAAATTTGTAAAAACATACATAGACGAAAATATTAAAATTATATTTTTGCTTAATATAGATATTCCGAGCAATCCTGGAATAATAGGGAAAAAATATTACTTATTATTGATGTTAAGTTTTATCGTTATAGTTCTTATAATCTGCGTCTACTACTTTTATTATTGTAAGTATATTTGATTTAGATATCAACTTGAATTGTAGATTATACATATATATCTGATATAATATCTAAACATTTACTAAAAATAATAATTTACTTATATAAAATTAAACGAATAAATTTACTAAAAAACAGTAGATTTTATAATACATATTGTTACATAATTAAGTCGAAATTTTATAATAGTGTATCGTCAACCCAGAGCTAATAACGAACAATTTTTGTCTTCATCAATGACCGATATAGAATTGGCCATTCTACATGAACCTTGCCAATACACTGAATTCAATACGATTTACAGTCCTATGTTACATTGTAATCCGGATGAATGTGCGATAACTAAAATCGCACGTAAACAAATTACATTTACAAAACTTATTGGTAGCGGCGCATTCGGAATGGTAAAAATTAATTTTTTCAAGCAGTGTTTCAAATTAATTTCTGGATCAACAAAATAGATTTGTATTTTCTAATAAAGATATAAATTACATAAATTTTTATAATAGATTATATGTAATATAAAATTTAGATGAGGCAACAAATATGCACTTTATTATACATTTTTGTTGAATTATTTAATATAAAATAAAATATAATATTACTTGACATTAAACTATATACATTTTCTAATAAAGTACGTATGTAAATTTGTGTGAAATATTTCGCAGGTGTTTCAAGGAAAGGTGAAAAACTTAGAAAGATCGGGCACAGAGATATCCGTTGCAATAAAAACGCTTCGGAAAGATGCTTCTTCCCATGAGAAAGAGAAATTGTTAAAGGAAGCCAAGCTTATGAATCATTTTCGACACAAACATGTATTAAGATTGTTAGCTGTTTGTTTAGATGGGGATTCTCCTTTATTAGTGTTGGAATTGATGGAAACTGGTGATCTGTTAAAATATTTGAGAGATTGTCGAAATTTGCAAGCGTCAGATTCGCCTGCTCTGCGTTTGCAGGATTTACTCGCTATGTGCGAAGATGTTGCGCGAGGTTGTTGCTACTTGGAAGAGTTGCGTTTCGTACATAGAGATCTAGCGTGTCGCAATTGTTTAGTATCTTCGAGAAATCGAGAGAATCGTGTCATCAAAATTGGAGATTTTGGATTAGCTAGAGATATCTACAAGGATAATTATTATCGCATGGTATACAGTTATGAAAAAAAATTAATGATTAAAAAATTAATTCTTTTGAAAATACTTTCCATTTTTTTATCATAATAGTATCATGCATTGTTTCTTTAAGTAATATAGAATATAAATAATTTTTATTTATATAAAGCAAAAGATAAATGAACGTTTTTTTCATTTTGCACATATTCTAAAAATGAACAACTTGAATCAGAACATTAAATTTTTGTTTAAATCATGTTTTAGAAAGGAGAACATTATTTTCCTATTCGCTGGATGGCACCCGAATCTTTGATGATTGAAATATTTACTTCTCAAAGCGATGTTTGGTCATTTGGGGTATTAATGTGGGAAATTACATCGTTGGGTGAGAAACCTTATATGGACAAGAATGATAAAGAAGTGATATATTATGTACGTGCTGGAAACAGGTTGCCGATGACTCTTAACTGTCCATCACCATTGTATCAGTTGATGCTACGTTGCTGGAGTGCAGCGGATGCTAGACCAAATTTCAAATTTTGTCTGGAAAATATTATAGCATTAAGAAAGAATATGGAAGATGCTTTACTGAGTCCAGTCGATACTATTTAGAATTGAAAATAATTAAATTAATATTTATCTTATTTTCCAAACGATTCAATAAATCTTAATGTAGAAAAAATATTTCTAGAATATTTCTAAATTGATTTTGTTATTTTCAGGTTTAATCTTAATATTAGATTTATCAATAAAGATAAAAGAAATCTTTTAATCTTATCTTCCATACAATTTTGATTAAAAATTATCACATCCATTTTTATAATTGTAAACAATGTATTATAATGATATATTTAATTTGTGTTTTTGAGTAATGGAAGCGAAACCTAATAATTGCGATTATGTATATATATATATATATATATATATATATATATGTATAAACAATATTTTTTTCAACATAGAAATATAATTAATTTTCGACCTTATATATAACCAATACAAACTGATTGTAAAATTTATGAGTGAAAGAGAAAACGCGAGTAATATCCTCTATAATTTAATATCCTCTATAAATAGTTGTGAATATATAAATATAATAATATAATTATTTTGAATTTATAACAGTTATCATGCATTATTTTTTACATCATTCGGAATAAATATATATTTATATTTTATCTTTATATTTAATGATTTACTATATATTTAAATTATATTATTGATGATTACAAAAGTATGCAATTATATAAATGAACTATACTTATTGCTCTATCTTTACTTATTAAAAAGCTGATAATATATAATATTTGCACACAATTACGATCTATCATTTCGGAAGATGACCAAATACTGACAACGTTTTATAGATATGTATGATATTATGCATTATAAATAATATTAAATAACATGAGGTTATATAAACCATTTCATAATCGATGCACAGATACAACGATACAGTAATCTGACGAGCACATTTTCTCGAATAATTCTAATCTTTATACTACAGTATACTAATAATCATAAATCCACAAGTTATAAATCTTAAGTTAAAATAAAGATGGATAGAATTATTGCGCAGAAATCACAAATATTTTAATATTTTAAATAATACTATATAAATGCTACTATATAAATGAAATAGGAGTATCTCTCATCAGAGCGTTTTATTGGCTGTTATTTGTCAATTTTTAATTATATTTAATTATAGAATTATGTAACACATTGCACATGACCGAGCGCTAAATCACCGAGTCGATATTGGAAATTGCTGTTGTAAGTACTGTTGTGGAAATTCAGGTTAGTTTATCAATAAAAAAGTTTGACTAGATTAAGATTAAGCTGCATTCACAAAAAATATTGGCACATATATGGAAAATGAATTCTACATATATTCTTTTATATTCTAATATATTTCATTTTTTCATAATACAATATTAACATTGCACTTTTAATCTTATAATATCTACAATAACTACAATGTGTACAATATCACAACATCCTCATAGAAAAAAAGTTAAAAAATTACTTATGTATGATTTTAAAATATGTATATTACATTCTTTCTATAAAATATCACTGATTTACAGCGCTGTACCTATAATTACTGTAATCAGTAATTATTTACTGTCACTCACTTTTTCAATGATAATACACTGATTCACTTTTAGAGAGTGCTTTATTCGACAACATTATTAAATACATATATTATTATGCTAAGAGAAAGACGTCAAAATGCTGTACATGTCATGATGTCAGGAATCTGTGACAGTTAGATCGTCACTTTTACGTCTTAAAAACGTCAATTCGTGACGTCAAGAATAATCAGTGAATGACCAATTTGAAACGTCAAAATGACGTGTGCTTGCTACCTGGGTGATTGCAATTGCAATAAATTAATCGATACATAGGTAGCAATTATTTGAATAAGTATTACATTCGATATGCATGGTCGATTCAAATAATTGACATCTATAGGTACTTTCCAATTCACACATGATGCGCATAAAGTGACAGAAAATGTATAATAATATGCGTGACATGAACTATACATTTTATGTCATTTCATGCGCATCATGCGTGAATCGGAAAGTATATTATGTATCGATCAATTCATTCCAATTACAGTCGGTAATTTCTCGTATAAGAAAAAAATTATACATCTCTCATCGTCACGAGAACACAGCGCCTCTTTCGTCAAATGTGCGAATCGTACAAGAAAAATATGTGAAAAATGTAGCCACGACGGTGACGTTTCTTAATCAAAAAGTTTCACATTGAGACTTTGCATCGTTATATTTCTGCTTATAGAGCATATAGAGCAAAAATAAAGACACTTTCCTTATATAAATCGAATCCAAGCAATTGATTGAACCTAATAAGAATTTGATTGATTCAACGATTATTGAGAACCGATAATATGCATTACTCGCAACTTAGCCATTCGTAACGTTTAAAATATTAAAATTGTAATAGTTCAAATAATAGTTCAAGTAATAGTTAAAATTGTAATAGTTAAAATTGTAATAGTTAAAATTATTATTGTAGTTCAACATAACCCAAAATAAAACTTACCCACTGTTTATTTAACTCGACTTCAAGATTTGATATCATCCATAATTCATATAATTTATGAATCTCTAAATCAGAAAATATATATTCTCCAATTATACGTATAATTTGCGATGCTTCTGTTGAATTCCAGAAATTTTCAGAGATATTGTTATCTCCCCAAAAAGAAAATTGCTCCAACAGAATGGAGAATATCGAATGCATAGGATACTTATGTTTAAGACAAGATAAAACTTCTTGCGTAATACGATCTAGCCATGTATTTATCACTGAATAAGGCACATGTGTTTCAAAATATATGAGCTACAATAAGAAGTTACCGTTCCATAATTTACTTTTTCTTCGGTTTATTTAGAAATTTGGATTGCTTGTACAGAAATCGATATTGTTTTAGACAGAAGAAGATTATGCCAAAACAGTACTTTTGTCAAATAATTGGGATCGAGCTCCCTGAAAAAATTTCATATATTAATCGTAAGACAATTATTTTTTGTATAATATTAATAATTATCTAGGTTACTAAATTTTACCAAAATAATTCTTGACTCTGTAGCAATAATTCTACAGAAATAATTCTATTTAGCTCGTCCCGAACAAAATAATAAACCATAGAATTTTCAACTATTTAATGTAAAAGACAATTTAATTTTTGTCAGTTTTCGAAAAATTCTTGCCCAACATTAGTAATACGTACATAATGTCGTAACTTTTTAATACATTGTATTCCTGATTTTAGTTGTTCTTCAATATTTAAATGGTTAAAAGATTTTTTCAGCTTCTTATATCTTTTCGCAGCTGTAGAACATCTAAAATTTAGATAGAAAATTTTTAAAAATTATATTAAAATTAACGTTATAAAATCAGCAATATACAACTTAAATAATATATTAAGTTTATTATTCTAAATCATACTTAAATAATAAATCGAGCGAGCAAATTAAATGTTTAAGGATATTTTGATTCAGCACATGCCGTTAAAATAAAAATAAAAATTGAAAAGATATTGTAATAAACAAGAATCGATGTTATTATATTTTTTTTAAATAAAATATTAAAAAGTGTACAGTTATAACTATTCGGTAATTATGCATAAAAAGGGCTCACCTTTGCACAAATGTGTTATTGCGGTATGTTGTGAAGATCTTATCCTTCATTAACATTCTGAAGGTTTTAGCCGGCGGTCGTTCTTTATTCAAAAATCGTTAACAAATAAATGTGCTACGTAGAAATTCTTACCCATAATTTCATATAGGTAGGTTTTCCGAAGATTTACCTTATATTTGTATTTATTATTTTTATCCTTCTTCAGCCTATATCTCTAAAACTATTTGATTCCCTTACATATTTATTTATATATATATATATATATATATATATATATATATAAATTGGTAAATAATTATACTAATTGGTAAAATGGTAAATAATTATATTGGTAAATATATATATATATATATATATATATATATATATATATATATATGGTAGGAGGGAGAGAGAGGAAGGGGAGTTGGGGATTGTAGTAGTAGCGAGGAGGGAAAGAGTGAGAGGAAAAAAGTGGTTGCAATGAATAGGGAGTTTTGGGATAGGTGAAGATGGGACGACGAAGGGCAGGGAGGGAGGAAAGAAAATGAGTAATGAAAGGAGGATGGGGAAGAGGGGGGGGGGGAGGAATGGGGCCTGAGGTTGGGGAGATGAGGAGGTGGTGAGGAGGTGAAGAGGAGTAAGGAGGGAGAAGGATCGGATGAGAAGAGGAGTGGAAGGTTCGTAGAGAAGGAAGAGGAAACAGAAATTGTAAGGTCATAATAGGCCAGGTTCGGATATGTATATGTAAGATGGAAAGATATGTATATGTAAGATGGAAAGATATGTAAGAGTGTGTGTGAGGCTGGGTCTTGTAAGGAGAAAATCACTAATTAATTATTGTTAGAGATATAAAAAAAAGATTATATGTTAAAAAAACTCCATTTATTGCTCTATTATTATACCTATGTTTCAATTTCAAATAGATAGATATTTAAAGAGCTATTATAGTATTTCGCAAGTACGTTGGTTGTTTTCTTTATCTTGGGGGCCTGGGACGAAAGTAACATAGTCTGGGGATAAAAGTAACAGTTCTTATTTTCGGGAAAATAAAACAAATATGACTTTTTTTTAATTTAAGGAAACCTTTATTATAATCTTTTATTAAGCAAGCTTTATTAAGCAACTTTTATTATAAATTTGTGTGTGTATTATATTATATTAAAATGAAAAATAAAATAAATATTTATTTTTATCATCTTTGAAAAACTTAAAAGAAGTAATCTTTGTTAAGCAAAATTATTATAAGTAATATCATAAAATAATTATACTTAATATCACACCAGTTTTGTACTTTTTTAAATCTAAATAATAGTTTAATTCTAAATAATAATGTAAAAATTGTATGATAACTACTTATACAAAAGAGATTGGTATCTATTCCGAATCACAATTATAGCATACGTAATAAGAATCGTCTTTGGTACAGTTATTATGGGAGCAGCCCCTTATACTTTAAGCATTGAAACGTGTTACTTTTGTTCACAGAGTGTCGTGTTACTTTCGTCCTCAAACACAT